ATATACTGTTTTAAAATATCTTGAATTGCATCTACATGTAAACATGTGTAAAATGCAATGGCCAAGAAAAGAGGAAAAAATTATCTAGGATTTCACATAATCTTGATCTAAGTCAATGTGACATGTGACAGGTTTTCGTTTTCGGGATTCTGTGGGCCTTGCCACCACTAAATGGTTGAATGGCACGGGCTTAATCTTAGAACCCCCTGACACATGCCACTGCTGTGGTATACTTGTACAGCTTTGCTGTTCGGGTACATTGGAAAAGTTATAAAGTTTGAATCCCTGCAAACTTTTTATAAGGCCAACTATGTGAGAGCAGTGACCATTTAAGCTGTAAGAAAATATATCAGAAATGCATGAATAACTGTCAATGTCTATATGCATGATTTGTCTAGAAAAAAAATGCTACAATAGACTGTTTCTGTTTAAAAGCATGGCCTTATCACAACAAATTCGGTAATATATATGCTATAAATTGCACACTCGAATTCAGGAAATAAATTAAGGAATGAGACAATAAATTGAGTAATTATGTGGTTTTACATTTAATGATTTTTTTTTCAATCATAACGCATACACATGCCGCACAAGATTACGTCACTACAGTAATGTTTACATTTTGTTTCAATACACAACAGCCGTTTCATTTGCATCTTTGTCTTGTGAAATGCGTATAGAAAGTGAGTGTTACTAGTAATTTTATTAAACGCATACCCAACTTTACAGGAACAATGTGACTCATTTATGGAATCATTTTTAATTTCCAAATTAAGTCGATGTGGGGGTTGATTTTTCCGCATCGATCTCCAGCATCGTGCTGTAGCTTGCACGGACTCATCCGAGTTAAAAATCTTAATATCGTGAATGTACCCTTGCGTAAAGTAATTTAAACCCTTTTGCAAGACTTTGCCCGACAATTTTGAGCTATTTGGCAAATATTTTACGCAATAATCGTCTGGAATAGACTTAAGACTGTCAGTCGCGACAGCAGATGATGTACTCAGCATCGCCATAATGTGGGACTTAGTAACCGTAACTACGGTGGGCGGGGCATCGAGAGACTAGTCGGAACTATGAATTCCTCAGTCAGCTGACTCAGCATAAACAAGGCACAGAACAAAATCAGATTTATCTGTGAGAGATTAAACACAGGAGCAGAATTACCTTTAATATTAACCTGTATTATTGATATATAGGTATAGAAATCGACAGGTAACCATACCTGTGTGGAGGTAAGCTGTTTACCTGTATTACCGCTAACAATACTTCTAACAGTATATAGCACCGGGTATCAGGACCATTTAAAAAGTTATTTAATGATTTAATAACACTGCAATAGGCAATGCCCTTTAAATGAAGGTTTGGTTCTGTGGAATTCTGCAAGAATCGCCGACCAGTGATTGTAAACGGAATGAAAACAATGAATTCTGGGGGATTATTTCGGAGTGTATTGAAATAATTTAACATATTCATTGTGGTGCCTCTCAAACGTTGGTATATATGTGTGTGTGTCTTAGAATCTGCTGATATAGTGTTAATGAAGTGTATGAACAAATGCAATGGATATCTCTAAGTGAAATTGATTTTGAAAAGTGAAATTTCGACTTGTGCATATTTTGATAGGATTGTTTTTTCATGAAGAATTAAAAATTTAATATTTTTGAATTCTTCCGTTAAAGCTGTTTCTGTGGAGCAGATATTTGTTGGGAGATCCTTGAGACATTCTTTGTTATGATAATGTCCTCAAAGACACAATTCTGAAATTAAAGAAATTGCTTACAGGAGCTCATATATCATCATTCTAAAAACTGGAAAATCTCTGTTAAGTTCTTTTACTGCAATTGATGAAAAAAGAAATACTTGCTGCTGTTAATATAACTATAGTCATATGATTGTGTGATATGTAAGGATTAATTATTCGGTAAATTCTACATCCTGACATCAGACATAAAGAAGGTGTAAGTGTATATTAGATTTAAATGCCTGAATCAGTTAATTATTAATCAGTTAATGATTGTGTTAAAACGGGGAGCAGGTTCAGACTTGATGTGTATATGTGGGGTGGGGAGTATGGGTAAGTCTGTAAATCTTTATCACGATGAATCGTTAGGGATTTAAGGATTTTTTTATTAAGATTCATGGAAAGTGTTGAGGGGGAGGGATGGGGATTAAACTTGGCACTCAGGGCCATTGAGCAAGGAGAAATCTTTTTTTCATGCCAATTCTATTGTGACATTGGACCTTGTTTATACATTTTCATCCAAAGGGCAGATCTCTACGTCCCTCAGTGGGATTTGAACCCAGTCTACATTGGTACACCGGATAAAGTATCAAAATTTGGTTAAGCAACAGTCAAATCTTCAGTTTACATTGGGTCTAAATAATAAAATGGTTTGATATTTAGTTTGATATTTAGCATTAATTTACGGACAAATCCAAGTATATTCGTATTTCACACCTTTTTATGTACCAGAGGAAGTCAAGCAAAGTTATTTTCACATTTATTGATCGATTGATGTATTGATCAATTTAAACCATTTGAATATACATGTGTAGGTCTCCACTTGAAACTTAATGTCTCAAAAAACATTACAAATGGGCTTGCAGAAAACCAGAATGCTTTGTATAATAATGGAAATTAGATGTTCTCTGTTTAAATTCGAACATGCTAAATTGAATAAAAATCGTGAATTAAATAAATAAAAATCTGAATGATTTATTTAAAAGTGTTTTTGGAAATCAGCTCTGAAACAGATTTTATGAACAAATTTAGAAGTATGGCATTTCTTTAAAGTGATTGTCAAATTAAGTTGAACCTAGCATACATATTCATGCATTGCAAGATATTTGTCTGAAAGGTGGGATATGCCAAAAAAGGAAGAGGTTCAATAAATGAAAATTGGTTCTTCTGTTGTGATTGTTGAACATAAGTTAAGGTTTTCCTTTCACTTTTGCCGGCCTTTGTTGCTGTTTTGTGTATTGGCTTATAATGGTGGCATTTTAAATTTCATTTTAAAATTTCTAATATATTCCACGAGAAAGAGTGGTGTATGTTGTAACATGAAAATTACAAAGTCTGATAATAAAAATGAAAATGTACCATTTTTAAAAAAATGAAGTTCAAAATACTTTGAAATTTATCATTTTTGTTTTAAAAAGATGTTTTAAAAATTAGGAATTTAAATAATTGTTATTGAAAAATCAAAACAGTGAAGTAATGGAAATTGAAACCTGATCTCTATAAGTTTCATGAAAATGAATTTTATTTATCCTGAGCCCAAACTTACTTTGTAGCAATTAAAGTATAAAAATCCCTTGAATGGTGAATTTTTTTGGGGTGGATGGAGCAAGGTGTTGTTGTTCCTAAGAGCAAGTGTCATCTTATGCATAAAATGACCCTGTACTTATATCAATTAATTAACTATCACCCATATCAAAATAAAGTAAACACTTGGTGCTTTCAATTTTTTTAATAAAATTTCGTTTTGAGAATCCAGATATTGGAAAACAGGTTTGAGAAATTGCAATGTGATAAATACTGCATTTGTAACCTAAACTGATAGGTTTTGATTTTTCAGAAATTCTCAGGGCCAAATAAGGCCCAAAGCGGCTCTTGCTCTTTGCACTAGTATATGTGATTATGGCCATGCAGAGACAGGAAATAAAAGTAGCATGCAATGTTTATGTGTGTGTGATTTGTTTTTTTTTTGTTTTCCGTGTTTCAAATTATTATGACTGCTTTCTGAATATGTGAAAAAATAATTTTGTGAGTAATGAAAAGGAGATGGGGATGTATATGGTGGGGGCTAAAGGAAAAATAATTCTCAGTTCCTCGTAACAATCTTGACTACTGCAGATAACATCACCTCTGTGATGGTTTAGGAAACCTATCCGTCCAGCTGTTGACAAGCCGCTCATTCAATATTTCACCTCATTAACATTAGATAATTGATACATGGGCATTTAAATCTGTGATTAGAATTTTTCTTTAAAGTTAGGGCTCACCGTCTCCCTGTTCATGAATTTAAAATTTTGCGGTATCACTTAGAAGTTTAAAAAAAACAAATTAGAATTCAAAGAGTAACCTATCAAATGAAAATTAACACAATACTAGAATACCTTCCAGGCCAAAAAAAATATAAGAAATAGCACTAAAATTTTCTTGACAAATATAAACTTAAGGAACAATAATCATTTTACTTAGCAAGAGTTATCTCTCCTAGCAGTGGGCTAGTGAACCTTAATCATTCTACAAGACTGTCACTGCAGCACCAGTATTCCTAACATTATCAGTAAACATGGCAACTCAGCTGATTGAATTTCACAAAATATTGACTTTTAAGAAGTTAATAGGTAAACACAAGTTAATCAACTGATCGCATTCCAAGCTGTAGATAATTCTTCTGAGTGTAGATAGTTCTATTGAGTGAAGATAATTCTATTGAGTGTAGATAATTCTATTGAGTGTAGATAATTCTTTTGAGTGTTTCTGATACAGTATATGAACTACTGCTTTGTAATAAGAATAGCTTGTAAATAGAACTAGATAACAGTGTTGTTTACCATAGAATTTTAAAATACCTGTACTCCAAAATCTAAGAAATACTTCCCCAACACTTTGATTTATTGTGGGTCACAGTACAGTAGAATGGGCCGTAAATCTTTAGATACATGGAGGTGTAATTGTTTGTCTTGGGATGAAATACTGTAATAATGATCACAGTTTTGTGATGATGAAGATAAAAAGATGAATCTAGAAATTTCTCACAAAGGGTGGGACACTTGTCTTGATTGATTATTTCAAAAAATGTTTTGGTATGATAGTAGACAAGAAGGAATCTGGGGATGTGAAAGGGGTTGGGAAGGAGATATAAAATATTTGATTAAATATCGTGTCTGTTTTTGTGAAAAGCAATTAGTCGAATTAAATTTTGATTAAAATGTAATGGCATAATATTAGTATTTATATAGGATAATATTTTTTATATTTTTTTCAGAAACAAAAGAGAAAATTACAAGAAGAATGCAATACATCTGTGAATCTCCCAGAATCCTCCTCTGAAAATTACCCAGAATCCTCAACTGTCACTGTCCTCCGCTTTGGATGATGATTCGCTGAGTAAGTCTACAGAGACGGCCAGTACGGTGATCGACGCCCAGAAGAATGTCAGGCCAGAAAAGAAGAGTTCCGAGGACTCGGACGACGAATTAGAAGAGATGCAATCAGAGGCGCATGAAGAAGACGGGAAACCCAGCACAATGGAGGCAGTGAGTTGTGATAACTAGGAGGATTTTTTTTACTTATGAAAAGGGGGGGGGTGACAGGAATGGCATGATAACAAAGGAATCACATATTAAAGAGAAGCCTTCCTTAAACTGGGGATTAATAGAGATTGAGGAAGTTTTTTTTAGCAGTAGATAGTGTTCTTGGAGTACTAGTAGTTGGTTTAAATTTGTATTTATTGCAACTCTCTTAGCCAACATAAGAAATCAAAAATGAAAGTTGTGTGCTGATCAGGTAAATAGGTGACTATAAACTCCATAAAGTTCCGTCTTTTTCTGAAATGGGTAAACATTTAATAAATTTTTAGGTTTCGAGACAAGACAAAAGACAAGAGGTAAGAAGAGAGAAGATTTCGGCCTGCGAGAGTAGCTCACCAGAAACCAGTGAGTCTCAGTCAGCGGTCGCCGTAAGTCAACTCATGGCTAGCATCAATCTCGCCAAGCAAGGGCCATTCATGAAACTCAAACAGGAGTACGAGACCAAAATCACCAAACTCACCGACGAAATCGAACAGGCAATGATTTTAAACAACGAACGCGAGAAATGCATCGATGATATAATGGACAATTATCCCATGACCGACAATTTTTTCTTTGATCTTCACAAGGGTGTATTTCTCATATCAACAAAAGTGTTGTGATATATTAAATATCACATATGTGATATAAAGCTAGTGATATCCAACCGTTATACCCTAGATGTAGGAGGAGCTATGCAAATGAGACAAAAATTCGTTTCTAGATTTTAATGAACTAACAGAAACAAAAAAAAAAAACACACATTACAGATAGTTAACACAGTTTAAATCAAAATGCACAAATCATTACAAAAAAAAAGACACTGACACGGTCTGGCGGAGCAATTCTCGAAGCGGATAGCTTCATCTCCCATAGGAATTCGCACATTCAATGGTAGTTTCCTTCCGGGCATCCTATCATTTCATGAACACCTTGCTCTCATGTACAACAGAATATCGGAACAGATTTGATATAAAGTCCTCGATCGGGGGTAGAGAAATCCGTTTGCGCCCCTGGCTTCAATTACAGTGTACAAAACATGATATAGTGTTCGAAAGTTCTTGGTATATAAAAGTGAGTATTTCGGGAATTATTTTAAACTCACCAAGTTGTTGTTTCGCTGAGATTTCCAGTCGTTGAACACTTGAACCATGTTGACTGCCCATGAACTGATGAAGTGTTACGGCGTGTGGTTTTACTTTCTTGATTTTTTAAGGGCACTTATTTCACTGGCCGACACATGTTTTCCGAATCTGTATAGCTAGTATTTTCAGTCCATTCCGTAAAATTTTCCCGTTTCAATTCCGGAAATGATCCCAAACACCAACACTGTAAATTCATAAAAGTCCTGACCACATGGGCCATTTTTAAATCCGATCGCCTGAGTTCATACAATCTGAACTGCTTTACTCGATTGAAAATTATCCTCGTCGTAGGCTTGCTGCAAAAACGGCGATTCTTTACGCTATAGACCCCTTCTACTACTTTCTCCAAATCCATAGAATACAAATGAATTGATTATCTCAAGAAAATGATCACGTGGTACAATACTAAGAAAATTTACCAAATTTGTAAATCCGTTACTTGGATACCAAAAACCCTTCGCGTTAAGACTATCACGTGGTTCTGATTCAGAGTCTTTATTAGTTGATGCAAAGAAAATACCTAATATGGGAAGAGGTCAAATGAAGGGTCATGGGATAAATCAGTTACATGATTGACAGCTCGATGATGCATACAAAATATCGTTTCGTTATTGCAAACTCGGAGGCTAACGCCTCCTCGCGTGCAATAACTCAACGATATTTTGTATGCATCATCTCGTGTCATCATGTAACTATTACATATGAGGCTAAAAATGATGAAATGAGAAGGCATTTTGAGATGAGAATTACAGAACTCGAGGAATCTGATGTAGATATCGAAGAGATTAAAGAGAAAATGAAAGTAGAGTTTGTGAAAAATTGCGAGGGGGAGTTAGCACGAGTTAAGCTCGAGGCGATGGAGAGTAAATATTTAACAGCAAAGAAATGGAGACTCTGCAGAGTCAGATAGAGAACGGAAAGCACAAGAATTTTGCGACTGAGTACGAGATACAGGGATATCAGGATAACATTCACGAACTTGAGACCGAGCTAGAAAAATTAGTGAAGGAAAGTGAATCGAGCGACGAGAAATCGTCCAAACGTACAGTGGACGAATCTTATGTCATGGTGTTTGCCTCGAGTGAATTCGTTACGGATGGCGAAACAAAGGATTCTGGGAAGGGAACTATAAATTAGGGGGTGGATCAAACAGATTCTAGTGGAGGATTTCAAGTTACTGTAGTGAAGTTTGTGAAGAAACTAGTGAAATTGGAGGAGAGGATTTAAGAGATTCAGGAGGGTTAGTTGTAGATCAGTCGGTGAAGGATTGTGAAAGTGAAAGTGGGAAGGAGGATTTGACTCGGCGAGACTGCACTGCTGATTTAGACAACTTGATCCAGAACCGTAAAGGCTCCAAGCAGACCAGTCTAAAATCAGGTAAGGGCAGTCTTCATATAGTCTTATAGTTATTACAGTAACAACATATTCACATATGATAATGATGCTAATGATGTGTTCACATTGATTTTTTTTTACCATAAAGAATTCTTTAGAGCCCCTTAAGCTTGTGAAGGCAAAGATTGTATCTGCACCTGATCCCACCTTTGATTTTTTGGAGGTCCGTGTTTTTTCTCCTCCTATTTTGTATTGTATTATGGGCTTTTGATCTTGAACACTGTTTGTTATCAGCTACTCCATATTTTCATTCTGAAAGTGGATATAATAGATTCAGGGGAGTTAGTTGTAGATCATTCGGTGAAGGATTATGAAAGTGAAAGTGGGAAGGGGGGGGGGGGTTGACTCGGCGAGACTCCAGTGCTGATTAAGATAACTCGATCCAGAAAGTTAAGTTTCCGTTCATTTTCTTCGCAACCGTTCCACATACTGAATTGAAATTTGGTATACAGATATATCACATTGATATCTAGGTCAACTTTTGTTTTGGGCATGATTATGTTTGACAGAGTTATGCCCCATGGACTAAGAAAAATTACAATTATTTGCAGTTTCCGCTCATTTTCTTCGTAACCGTTGCACATACTAAATTGAAATTTGGTATACAAATATATCACTTTCAACTAGTTGCGTTAGGTATAATGTTTTTGACCCGTTCGTCAGAGTGTCAATCAGTCAGCCAGTCCGTCAGTCCTTTTTTTTGTCAGGGCAACTCCTCATAAACTGCTGCACAGAATTTCGTCAAACTTTGCAGGTATTGAGAACACAATGCGAAAATGTGCATATTACCAGGAAATTCTGATTCCTTTATTTTTCCGGGAATTTCCACACTTTTTAACTAAGGCATTTGGCCATAACTTGAATATAAAGATGAACAGTTTGTCAGCGCATCTCCTCATAAACCGCTTCACAGAATTGCGTCAGACTTTGCAGATATCTAGGACACAATGTAAAGATGTGCATTTTACCAGGAAATTCCAAATCCTTTTTTTTTCTGGGAGTTTTGGCACTTGACAACTTATATTTTGGGGGAATATCTTGAAAATAGTGATGAACAATTTGTCAGTGCAATTCTTTATAAACCGCTGCACAGAATTTCATCAAGCAAGCTTTGCAGATATTTAGGACACAATTTGTAGATGTGCATATTACCGAGAAATTCCGATTCATTCATTTTTTCCGAGAATTTCAGCACTTTTTTGGGGGGAGCATGGGATATGTGAGCTTGCTCACTTTTTCTTTCATCTTTTATGTTTGAAGGGCATGCAAGTCTTATTTGGGAAAGAACAAGAAATGTGTTGGTTATGCTGTAAAATCTAAAAAAAAAAATGCAGAGTATGTGACTTGGCGAAACAAAAGGATGTCCCTGTGAGGAAGCACAAATGCAGTCGAAACTTGTCAGGGTCAGCCAAATCTATGGAACCTGCTGTGGCTTGCAAGATGGTGCAAAGTACAAAAGATCAAGATGAAAAGGTAGGAATTGTATAGACATGTTCGATTATATAAATATATCTGTGTACATTCAATATTCAAAATCCGTGAAGAGCTAAGAGGGGAAAGTGCTATGAATTAAAATGCCACTTTCCATGAAATGTTTATTACATATTTATATATATCCAAAGATTGTAAATGAAAGTGCTAATCCATTACTGTTTTTTATTTTGCTTATAATTATAAAATGTTGTTAGGTTACCACGTTAGTAATGGACAACGATTCTACAACAATAGCCAGATTGAGAGCAACTGTTGATCCAGATATAAAGAAAAAGGTGGACAGCAATCACATGAAAAAAGGGTTTACTGGAAGTCTTGTAGAAATCAGCAATACCCATAAACTTTTGAAAAATGTTTAAGTTAGAGCACACATTGAGAGATGCTTTACATATTGTGTTCATGAGACATCTGAAGATCCAAAAAAGTTAGCCAATGATCTGGGGAAAATTGTTCCTCATTTATATGGTAAGAATACTACTTGCAAAAAGAATGACCATATATTTAAGTTTGACATTGGCAAGAAAACTAATTTTGTTTTCTCATTATTTTTAGAAATTTTTAGAAATTGCTCTGCGTTCATGATAATGTATGAATTGTGTATTTGTGTATTTGTATTAGTGTATTTAAAGGGGACCATTCTATGAGTGGCACATGGTGAAGGAGTGAACAAACTGGTAACAAACCAAAAAAACTTGTTGTATGGAAAACCTCTAACAAGTGAACCTCCCTCTGAGACCAGCTCTAGAAAAGCTGTTTGAGAAGTATGCAGACTGGGCGAGTTGGTGTCGTTATGATCCACTCAAGTGAATGAAAATTTAAACCACATTATCTCTAGTAAAGCGCCTAAAAGAAAGGTTTCTTTTCCAAATTTATGAAATAATAAAAAGCATGCAAATAGATAAAACATATAC